TGCTAAAACTCGGTCAAAACAGCGAGTTAAGAGCTCAAATTTTTTCACATCATAGCCCAGGCATCTACTAATAATCTACAAAGATTCAGACCTTTAGCTGTTATACAGAATGAATAATCGCTTTTTACGTTTTTGGCTAAGCGATTCGTCTTTATTTCTTGACCTAACGTTTATTTTATGCAGTCAAAAATATTGCGCAATGATATAGATCTATAGTAGACTGACACGTTGAATTATTTTCTCTTTTATTGCCGATACGAAACGTATAATGAGTTGCAGTTCAATTTATCAGAGTCTACCATAGATCTATATTATTGCGCAGTATTAATAATGGAAGGGGTTGAACGGGAGAGAAGAAAATTACCGACGACTCGTTTTGTCCATGCTGTCCTATCGAATGTTGTGCTGTAAATTAAAGAACATGTCACAACAAAACTAAAACAACAATGGTGGTGACTTTTGGGCATCAAATGTGACAGGATGTGAACACAATGGCACAATTTGGGTACATGGATCTATTTTCTTCATCCAGTTAGGCGCAATTTCCTGAATATTTTCGTGCACTTTAATTTCGAATATCTATGTAAATAGTGGATAGAATCGGGTGATATCGAATGTGCTGTTTAATATGATCCCATGTCGACGAAACCGCGGCATTTTTAATATTAATCGCGATTCTTGAAAAATCGCAAATTAATTGCGATTAATTGTTGATTTTAAACTATTCAATGATTATTGTTATTCACGGTTTTATCTTGCAGTACAGTGTGTATACAAGAAACACGATTTCAACAAGAAAAACACTTCTATTTAGATCATCTTTTTATTTTAGTATAAAACGGAGTTGTCAAGTCTTCTCTATAATCCCTCAGACCTTTAAGTCGAGGAGCCCAGTGAACAGCTGGCATCTGGGCAATGTCTAAATCGACTCATCGGAAAGGCTCCGACTTCAGCTGGTACTAAGACCCTTGCTGGATGACGTGCATGTCATTATAGATAATAAACAATGAAAAAACAGAAAAAAATATGTATTTCCTAAGATGGGTTCGAAGTTATTACCTAGATAAAAATCGTTAATTAATCACGACTATTGCTAACATCACCAAAATATCGGCAATTGATCGCGATTAATCGTATGATTTTTCACTATTAATTGCCGATTTTTAGTAGATAGGATGTCACAAAAGGTGGAGCACGAGATGAGGAAAACTTTCGTGAACTGTTGACGCTATAAAATTCATGGGAGTATGTCATACTGAATAGCTCTTTCTGAAAGTCAAATGATATTTACAGTCGTGATATTTTGATTGAAATGCACGATCTGATGCCCTCTTTATTTGTGTTGGAGTTTAATGCAGAGTTTCAAGTTGAACAACGAGTGTATTATTTCACTCGCATCGTGTTGCTGCTCATCACTACCAACAACACACATATGCTTGCCGACGAGACAGATCTCAACGCGACACCACTGGCAACCCATTTTGGAAGAAAGAGGCTATAACCATTTCTCCAAGGTTGTCTATATATTGGGTGTGCGTCTCGCTTCATAATAATATCGTCCTCCCGTACATAATACAAGAGAATCAATTGTTTTTTTTATTGTCATTATATTGTTATTTCCATTATAATAGAAAAAACTAGATAAAAAGGGAAAATAAGATACAAAGATATGTGGTTCTAAACAAGGGGATAACTTCCTATGTTCGCAATGCCACATTGATTTTTCTTGTTACGACTCATCCAAATGTAGCCTTTATTACCCCACGATTCGCCCCAGGAGTTTTTTGCTATGTAATAATCTTGCTTGACGGTGCCATTGGTAAGCGTATCGTAGCCAACAAGAACGAATGAGTGGTCAATTTGTGTCGTCGAACATGCTGGCTCGTCATAAACACCTGACGAATAGAACTGAAAGGATGACTGTGAACCATCAATCGCGACCGATATTGGGCCCACGGTGGCAAGAGCTATTTCCAAAGCGGTTTCATTTCCAGGTGGAAGATCAACAAAACCCTATGACGGACAAAGAAATGAATGGAGAAGAAGAATAGATGCTAACACTGACCGTATCGGTGGCGCCCACATTAGTCCGGTTGAAGCGACACTTTCCCTCCACTGCTTCATACGGATAGCTTGCTTCCGTGTCCACACCCTTGTTGGCTTTGATGTAGTCAAATGAGGCGTCCATCAGTCCTCCATTGCAACCTTGATTACCAAATTTTCCGGAGCAATCCATTAGATTCTGTGCCGATAGTCCCACCAATTTGCCGGTCTTAATAAAATGTTGTCCTTCCAGGGCACCTGTCGCCGTGAAAGCCCAACACGAGCCACATTGACCCTGGTCTTCAATCGTCGTAGTCACAGCACCCTTTTTACGCCAGTCTAGCAGAAACAGTGAAAGACAGACTTCAATCATATTCATCTTTTTTTAGATCGTTTACACAACCAAAACATGGAACTGAAGTCTGTTTCTGGATGAGTCGCACAGATAGTCAGATCCATTCAGGCTGTCTTTCAGATTGACTTTTAAGAGCTCGAGGTATCCACGAATAATCAAGAAATCGATGGATAGTTTCGAACTAAAGGTACTTACCGATAGCAGCTGGTATGACCACATTCGACGGCGGGAGAAATGTGTGTCGATCAAATGTACTTGATGCCTCTGTAGCTAAGCTCATCTTGAATCCGCCGACCATCGTTTGGACAAACTCTTTATGTTCCTAGGTGAAAAACACAACGAGGTGACTAGTCTCGGTAGATTTGGAGATTTTTTGTCTTCTTTGTTTTGATGAAAATTAGTTTGTTGAGTGTTTTCCGCTGCTATTGTTACACGTTTTTCCGTAAATGAGCTTACTGTTACTAATATATTCCATAGGACAGAGACCGAGACTAACAATCTCGACTTTTGTAGAATCGGGGCTAAAAACTAAAAAGTTCACTCGTGTACCATATCGGCAAACTTGTTGACTTTCATTGTGTATGTGTGTAGGCCTAGATCAGCTTCAAGATTGTGTCGATTGATCATGGCCACATTGTCTTCGAAGACAGCTCGACTAGACAAATGGTTAATTTATCTTTAGGAAATGAATAGATTGATCGTCATTACTTTCTTACCGATATTTTTCCTCTTGGACATTGACGTATTGTTTGTTGTGAACGCGTTTGAACAGATTCCAAAGTGCCGGTTGTTGATACTTGTCGACTGCTTGAGCAGCGCTTAAGACAGCGATGAGAAGGTAAAGCAAATGCATACTGACAGAGCGGCTATTCATGGAGATGTGATCACAAGAGAAATCTTCGCACACACCTTTATGTACTCAAGAAATAACGACTACAGCATCAATGTTTACCATCATCGTCATGATGACTTACTATAGCCTATTTCTTCTAATCGAATACACTTGAAAAAAAATTGTGTCAGAACAACTCGCCAAAAAGAATTTCTCCTTACTCAGAGGAGACAGATAACTGTCAAATGTTACCGACACTTGAAAATGACCAAGATTATTCTTGAGGATTCCCGTCCAAAACTGACCTGTTCGAAAGAAAACATCATTATTAAACTTTTGCCTTTCAAAGATTCCTCCTCACATTTTGAAGTCTCTCTTTTCAAAATTTGTAGCGCTTTCTGAAGTGAGAAAACAATTGTTTGATGGATTTTAGACCAATGTGTTTTTTTTAGGATATTTTGACTGAAACATCGATGCTGATGATCAGAATAATTTCATTTTAAAAATTAGCCGTACATCTATACCTTCTACGAATTTGTTGCTTCAAAGGTTTCGTTAAAAAAAACAATGAGAACAACATCTCGTCTGGTTTTCTCCGTACCGACTGACGTCTCTTGACGATACAAGTTTTATTCTAAATGAAGATACTTTTTTCTCGATTAAATGACTTTGATGCGAAGAGCCGCTCGTAGTCCCGTGTGATTTCCATAGAGATCATGAAATTCTAACAGAACAGAAAAGATGATTGAATCGATTCGCGATCAGGTAAGTGAGGCAGACAAAGATTCATCCCATAGAAAGCAAACTTCGAATACCTAATCGAAAGTGGTAAGTTTCTGCAGTTGATGATAGGGGTGGCACTTTTAGAACTGTGATATTTTGATTGAAATGCACGATCTGATGCCCTCTTTATTTGTGTTGGAGTTTAATGCAGAGTTTCAAGTTGAACAACGAGTGTATTATTTCACTCGCATCGTGTTGCTGCTCATCACTACCAACAACACACATATGCTTGCCGACGAGACAGATCTCAACGCGACACCACTGGCAACCCATTTTGGAAGAAAGAGGCTATAACCATTTCTCCAAGGTTGTCTATATATTGGGTGTGCGTCTCGCTTCATAATAATATCGTCCTCCCGTACATAATACAAGAGAATCAATTGTTTTTTTTATTGTCATTATATTGTTATTTCCATTATAATAGAAAAAACTAGATAAAAAGGGAAAATAAGATACAAAGATATGTGGTTCTAAACAAGGGGATAACTTCCTATGTTCGCAATGCCACATTGATTTTTCTTGTTACGACTCATCCAAATGTAGCCTTTATTACCCCACGATTCGCCCCAGGAGTTTTTTGCTATGTAATAATCTTGCTTGACGGTGCCATTGGTAAGCGTATCGTAGCCAACAAGAACGAATGAGTGGTCAATTTGTGTCGTCGAACATGCTGGCTCGTCATAAACACCTGACGAATAGAACTGAAAGGATGACTGTGAACCATCAATCGCGACCGATATTGGGCCCACGGTGGCAAGAGCTATTTCCAAAGCGGTTTCATTTCCAGGTGGAAGATCAACAAAACCCTATGACGGACAAAGAAATGAATGGAGAAGAAGAATAGATGCTAACACTGACCGTATCGGTGGCGCCCACATTAGTCCGGTTGAAGCGACACTTTCCCTCCACTGCTTCATACGGATAGCTTGCTTCCGTGTCCACACCCTTGTTGGCTTTGATGTAGTCAAATGAGGCGTCCATCAGTCCTCCATTGCAACCTTGATTACCAAATTTTCCGGAGCAATCCATTAGATTCTGTGCCGATAGTCCCACCAATTTGCCGGTCTTAATAAAATGTTGTCCTTCCAGGGCACCTGTCGCCGTGAAAGCCCAACACGAGCCACATTGACCCTGGTCTTCAATCGTCGTAGTCACAGCACCCTTTTTACGCCAGTCTAGCAGAAACAGTGAAAGACAGACTTCAATCATATTCATCTTTTTTTAGATCGTTTACACAACCAAAACATGGAACTGAAGTCTGTTTCTGGATGAGTCGCACAGATAGTCAGATCCATTCAGGCTGTCTTTCAGATTGACTTTTAAGAGCTCGAGGTATCCACGAATAATCAAGAAATCGATGGATAGTTTCGAACTAAAGGTACTTACCGATAGCAGCTGGTATGACCACATTCGACGGCGGGAGAAATGTGTGTCGATCAAATGTACTTGATGCCTCTGTAGCTAAGCTCATCTTGAATCCGCCGACCATCGTTTGGACAAACTCTTTATGTTCCTAGGTGAAAAACACAACGAGGTGACTAGTCTCGGTAGATTTGGAGATTTTTTGTCTTCTTTGTTTTGATGAAAATTAGTTTGTTGAGTGTTTTCCGCTGCTATTGTTACACGTTTTTCCGTAAATGAGCTTACTGTTACTAATATATTCCATAGGACAGAGACCGAGACTAACAATCTCGACTTTTGTAGAATCGGGGCTAAAAACTAAAAAGCGATTATTCATTCTGTATAACAGCTAAAGGTCTGAATCTTTGTAGATTATTAGTAGATGCCTGGGCTATGATGTGAAAAAATTTGAGCTCTTAACTCGCTGTTTTGACCGAGTTTTAGCA